GTCGTCGTCGTCGTCGTCGTCGTCGTCGTCGTCGTCGTCGTCGTCGTCGTCGTCGTCGTCGTCGTCGTCGTCGTCGTCGTCGTCGTCGTCGTCGTCTTTGAGGGTCGGCGGCACCGGCCGTAAGGCCTTCGCAATATTGCAACAGCTTCAAGGATGGAGGGCGGTGCGTTTACAAAATGCAGTTGTCGCCTCATCGCCGCGTACATTCGTTATAGAAGGTTGCAACACTTTCACACATGGAAGGCGGCTCCTGTTCAAAAGGCAGCTCTCGCCTCAACGTCACGCAATTTCGTTTTCAAAGTTTGCAACCGTTTAAAAGATTCGTACGGTTGAAATCCCAGGAATTGTGTTCTGGCGCAATGAAAAGTTGCCAGGACGCAACAGCCACGTTGATTCGCGGTGGTGATGTCCCAGAAATGGTTTTCTGGAACGGTTTAGCACTGTCAGGACTCATCAGTCACGTTGATTCGCGGCGTTGAAGTCCCAAGAATGGTGTTCTGCCACGAGTAGGGATTCTCAAACTGTTGTCTTCCATTGGACCACTTCCCGCACTGAAGAAAAAACTTTCGTGCAGGGACCTACAAGGAAAGAACTTGGAGGGTGGGTTTAATGCAACATCGTCGATGCGCGTTGGGTTGACAGTGGTCCTCCTCCTCCTCCTCCTCTTCCTCCTCCTCCTCCTCCTCCTCCCCACCCCCGTCTTCCTGCACCTCCCCCTCCTCCTCGTCCTCCTGCTCCTCATCTTCAACCCCTCTTCGTCATGAACAACTCCTCCTTGTCGCATCGCTAAACGTGTCGGCAGGGCGAGCCGGGCGTTTCGCCTGAGACTCCCTCATCAATTTGGTCCTGAAGCTTGCAACTTGCAAAAGCTTCACAAATGGAGGGCGGGTAGTTTTCACATATGTAGATATCGCCTGAACGCCGCGCATGCTCGTGTCAACAGCTTGTAACGGCTTCAAAGATGAAGGACGAGTGATTTCCAAAATGAGATTGTCGCCTTAGCGCCGCGTACACTCATCTTTGAAGTTTTGCAACAGCTTCACACATGGAAGGCGGTTCCTTCTCATGATGCAATTTTCGCCTTAGCACCTCGCACATTCGTCATAGAAGTTTGCAACCATGCCCAGGATTCGTAGGGTTGACATCAAACGAGGTGCGTTCTGGCACGACATGGGACTATCGGGGCACAACGGTCACCCTTATTCGCGACATCGAAGGCTCAGGAATGGTATTCTGGCACGAATGGAAATTCTGGACGCGACAGTCACGTTGATTCGAAGTGTCGACGTCCTAGACATGGTGATGTGGTACGATTTTACATTGCCAGGACACAACATTCACATTAATTCACAGCCTTGTAATCCTAGAAATGGTGTTCTGACAGGATTGAGGATCATCACACAAACTTCCTCGGCCTCACGTGAGCCACTCCCCTGCATGGATAAGGTGACAAAGTGATCGCAAGTTGGCGCGCGCTCCGTCTCGCACTCTCTCGAACGCCCTGCATCGCTTTATTTCCCAAGCGCACTGGAACAGTAAACAGGCTGCTGAATAAAATGGCACATGAGAAACAGAGTGGCCCTTGAGCCAAAATGGCCACAGTAGGCGTATGAGAAGCTTTTCAAAGGCTTATGAGAGGCTTCTGACAAGCTCGTGAGTGTTTATGATAGGCTAACGCCGATAGTTTGGTGTGCTCACCTGGCGCCAAAATGTGTTGAATACACGTGCGCTTGAGGTGCGTGCATGGGGGCACGAAATTAGGAATGATGACGAACGAGTGATCGGGCGAGTTCACTTCTCCCTCGACTCCTCTACTTCCCCTCTCTTCTCAGTCCTGAGGGGCAACGAAAGGGGGGGACTGGCCAGGGGGGAAACGCCGACCTGGAATCGTCGATACATCGCCGACAGATCAGCGACGGGCTCTCGAGATCGAAACCGAACTCCCGAGCGAAGTGAACCCCACCCTCCCCCTCAGAAATCGTGGGGGGTAGGGGTAGGGTTCGCGTGTGGCCCCCAAGGGTGGGCCATCGAGTCCCCATCGGCAATGAATGCGCGATTGCAGGTCGACGCGTCCCCCTGAGCTCGTCCCCTCCCCCCCCTCCTAACGTTGGTCGGGCATGTCCTCCTACAGGCGGCCTTTGCACGAAAAAAAAGTTTCGTCAAACATGCTTCAAATAGTCCGCAAATAGTCGACAAATCGTCCCCAAGCTATTCGTTAACCATTTTTGAATACTCCTCCTGTAGGGGGACACGACCGACTTGACCCTACCTCCCCACCCCCCTCCTCCCCCACCCGCGGCGCGGAGTCCCAAAAGGAGGCCTTCCCCCCCCAGGCGGCTGCGCCAGCACGGCGGCAGCGTCGCGCGGCACCTGCATCATGGACGTCCAAGGCGACAGCAAAGCCGAAATCGGAGCGAACCGCCAGCGAAACCGAGACCGACCGAAACCCACAGGGTCGAAGGCAGCCCAGAGGGGCACTCGCGACGCAGCAGCCGACCCGAGCAGGACCGCCCGAAGGCGGCCGACTGCAGTGCAGCCTGGCGGACCAGGTCGAGGGCACCTCTTGGGGCGACGCTGCCCGCTACATGCCCGCTGCCCCCGGCCATGCCCCTCCTGGGCTCAGGAATGGCGAGAGGCGCCCCCATGCCTCGTCCGAGGGCGACACGTGCGCCTCTCCTGGGCTCCAAGGTGGGCCAAGTCAGGGCCAGAGGGATCCGTTCCGTGTCGATGATCCTCAGGACGCGTGTTAGCCCAATGTGTGTTTACCCCCGTCAGCCCAACCAGTAGATCACTACATCGCCTGCGTTGTATCGAAGGGCTTCGATGGACAAACACATGTTGAGGCTAACACACGTTCTCGGGATCATCGACTGTAGGCGTCCCGTCGCCGGATGCTCTGGCACCAGCACGCCCGAAAGGGGCACGGTTAGGTCAGACATGTCCCCCGATAGGCGGATTTTGGGCGGAAAATTGAAACCAAAAAAACGTTCCACAAATAGTCAAGACATACTCAAAAGTCGTCTCCTGACCATTTTACTAGTTTGGAATACTCCTCCTGTCGAGGCGCGCAGGGGGCAGGGGGAGGGTGGAAGGCCTCTTAGAAGCAGGGGTGCTTTTAGGAAGCCTTCCCCCCTCCCCCCTGGTCCCCTTCTGCGCGTGGCCGACCGACAGTTTTGTGATCCAAACCCGGCAGCGGCCGCTGTCCGCCAGGCGACCTGCTGTCTAGAATGGACGTGGCCGCGGCGACGCCGACAGCGAGCCCTGCTCAGGACGGGCAGGAGACGCTGCCAGTCTTCGCCCCTACTCTTTCGGAACCCATGTCGGTCGGTGTTCGGGACATGACTCGGGCCTCCAGCGTCCGATCTGCACGATTCGGGCACCCACGGAACGCCTTCGGCGAGGCGCAGCTGCTGGAGATCATCCCGATGACCACCGAAAACACCCGAACATCTCTGGAGAGACAAAAAATACCGATATCGCTACTCCACGGACCTCTCCTGGGGTGCGTTCTGACCAGGATTGCGAGGCGAACCCAGCGGTGGCAACGGGGGCCTCCGAGAGGCCCAAAAGGGGGAGAACCGGCGACGAGACTCGCACCCACTTCGCAGCGGTCTGGAGCTCCCCTCCCCCCACGATCTTTCGGGCCGCGGCGTGGCCGCCCAGCGGCCGCCCCGCGCGAGCGCGCCGCCCGCAGGCACGGCCCGCGCGCGCGGCGCTCCCGCGCGGGGAGGGGGCGGGGCCCGCCCCGCGGCCAGCGGGGCCGTCCCGGGCGCGAGCTGGCGCCTGGCTGGCACGGGGAGGAGGGGGAGGAGGAGGGGGAGGAGGAGGAGGAGGGGGAGGAGGAGGAGGAGGAGGAGGAGGAGGAGGAGAGGAGGAGGAGGAGGACGAGGACGAGAGGAGGAGGAGGAGGAGGAGGAGGAGGAGGAGGAGGAGGAGGAGGGGGAGGGGGAGGAGGAGGAGGCGTTGCCCCCGTCCAACGGGGCGCGGCGCCCCCCCCCCGCGCGGGAGGCCCCGACCCTAAGTTGAGCAAGGCGGGAAGGAGAAGGAAAAGGAGGAGGAGGAGGAGGAGGACGAGGAGGACGAGGACAAGGACGAGGACGAGGATGAGGGCAAGGACGAGGGCGGATAAGATCAGGCTCCACCTTCGCCCTCGGTCTCGCCCGTCGCCCAGCGCGCCCGCCCAAACGCCCGCGCCCGCGGGCCGCCGAGGACCGCCCGATCCCGAGGAGCCCCGACTCGGAGGCTGGAGACGCGAGCCCGAAGGAGGGGGGAAGACAGGGGGGGCAGGGGAGGAGGGGGAAGGGAGGGAAGGAAGGGGAGGGAAGGGGAGGGGAGGGGGAGGGGGAAGGAAGGAAGGGGAGGGGGAGGGGAGGAGGTTGAGGGGAGGGGAGGGGAGGGAAGGGAAGGAAGAGGAGGGGGACAAGGAGAGCTGGGAGGCGGGGGAACCAGAGGGTGAAGAAGAATCTTCGGGCTTTTCGGGGAACCTCCTGACAGCCGCTCTGCTCCAAGCGCTCTGCTCCAGCTTCTTACTGGTTCGGGCAGCAGCGTCTGCTCCAGCCGCGGGTGCTCCTGCGCCACCGACCACCACGCATGCCGCGAGGCCGTCTGGAGGCTGGGCCTCTCGGGCAGATCCTTCGCCTGGAGGAGGGGGGGACGATCGGCAACGAGCAAGGGCCCCCGGAGGAGGAAAAAAGGGGAAAAAAAGGCAGGGATGTGGAAGGCCTCTCCCTCCCTCCTCCTCCTCCTCCTCATCCTCCTCCTCCTCCTCCTCTGAATCCTCCTCCTCCTCCTCCTCCTCCTCCTCCTCCTCCTCCTCCTCCTCATCTTACTCTTCCACTTCCTTTTCCTCTCCCTCTTCCTCTCTCCCTCCCTCCGTTCCTCCCTATCTCCTGCCCTTCCTCCCTCCCTCCTCTTCTCTCACGCCTCTGCCTTCTCCTCCTCCTTCTCCTCCTCCTCATCCTCCTCCCCCTCCTCCTCCTCCTCCTCCTCCTCCGCATCCTCCTCCGCCTCCTCCGCCTCCTCCTCCTCATCCTCCTCCTCCTCCTCTTCCGCCTCCGCCTCCGCCTCTGCCTCCGCCTCTCCTCTCTCCTCCTCCTCCTGCTCTACTCCTACCTCCGCCTCCTCTCTCCTCCTCCTCGCTACTCCTCCTCCCCTCGCCTCCTCCTCCTCCTCCTCCGAATCCTCCTCCTCCGTATCCTCCGAATCCTCCGAATCCGCTCATCATCAATCATCATCATCATCATCATTCATCATCATCATCATCATCATCATCATCATCATATCATCATCATCATCATCATCATCATCACATCATCATATCATCATCATCAGCATCATCATCATCAATCATCATCATCATCATCATCATCATCATCATCATCATCATCATCATCATCATCATCATCATCATCAGCATAATCATCATCATCATCATCACATATCATCATCAGCAGCAGCATCATCAGCATCATCATCATCTCGTCGTCGTCGTCGTCATCGTCATCATCAGCAGCAGCAGCATCATCATTCATCATCATCATCATCATCACATCATCATCATCATCATCATCAGCAGCAGCAATCATCATCATCATCATCATCATCATCATCATCATCATCATCATCAATCATCATCATCATCATCATCATCATCATCATCATCATCATCATCATCATCACATCATCTCATCATCATCATCATCATCATCAGCAGCATCGTCATCATCATCATCATCATCATCGTCATCATCATGATCATCATCATCATCATCATCATACCTCCATCATAATCATCATCATCATCATCAGCAGCAGCAGCATCATCATCATCATCATCATCATCATCATCATCATCATCATCATCATCAGCATCATCATCATCATCATCATCAGCAGCAGCAGCAGCCTCATCATCAGCAGCAGCCTCATCATCATCATCATCATCATCATCAGCATCATCATCACCAGAATCATCATCAGCAACATCAGCACCAGCATCATCATCATCAGCATCAGCAGCATCGTCAGAAGCATCATGATGATCCACATCATCAACAGCATCGTCATCATCATCATCATCATCATCATCATCACCATCATCATCATCATCAGAATCATCGTCATCATCATCAGCAGCAGCAGCATCATCATACTAATCATCATCAGCATCAGCATCATCAGCATCAGCAGCATCGTCATCAGCATCAACAACATAATCATCATCAGCATCAGCATCCTCATCATCAGCATCAGCATCGTCATCATCGTCAGCATCATCATCATCATCATCATCATCATCATCATCATCAGCATCAGCATCATCAGCAGTATCATCATCATCATCATCATCATCATCATCAGCATCATCACCACCATCATCATCGTCATCAGCATCATCAGCCTCATCACCAGCATCAGCATCATCACCAGCAGCACCATCATCAACAACAACAACTTCATCATCATCGTCATCCTCCTCATCCTCATCATCATCATCAGCATCAACATCAACATCAGCCTCATCATCAACATCAGCATCATCATCAGCAGCATCACCATAATCATCATCGTCATCATCATCAGCATCATCATTATCAGCATCAGTATCAGCAGTCTCAGCATCACCAGAATCATCATCAGCAGCAGCATCACCATCATCATCACCATCATCATCATAATCATCATCATCATCATCATCATCATCAGAGTCATCATCTTCGTCAGCATCACCATCAGCATCAGCATCAGGATCATCATCAGCAGCAGCAGCAGCATCATCATCATCATCATCACCCTCATCACCCTCCTCCTCCTTCTCCTCCTCCTTCTACAATTGGCCAATCCTGAATCCTAGGATTGTGGAGGTCTAAGCTGTAACCTCCTCCTCCTCCTATTATTCGTTCTCTTCCTCTTCTGCTTCCTCTCTCCCTATCTCACTCCCTCCCTCCCTCCCTCCTCATCCTCCTCCTCCTCCTCCTCCTCCTCCTACTCCTCCTCCTCCTCCTCCATTCCTTCTCCTCGTAAGTAACTTCTCCCTGTCGCACCCCGAGGCCGATGTTTTGGGCTGGCAGGGCGTTTCGCCTCAGACTTCCTCGCCATTTATGACCCTGAAGCTAAACATTGGCAACAGTTTCACAGATGGAGGGCGGGTGGTTTTCAAAATGTGGCTGCCGCCTCAGCGCCGCGCACATTCTCGATACAAACTTTGCAAGAGCTTCACGGATTGAGGGCGGGTCGTTTTCAAAATGTGGCTCTCGTCTTAGCGCCGCGCGAATTATTGATACAAAATGTGCAACAAGAGTTTCACATATTGAGGGCGGGTCGTTTTCAACGTGTGGTTCTCGCCTTAGCGCCGCGCACATTGATTTTCAAAATGTGGTTCTCGCCTTAGCGACGCCTACATTCGTTTTAAACATTTGCAAGGACTTCGCGGATCGAGGGCGGGTGGTTTTCAAAATGTGGCTCTCGCCTTAGCGCCGCGCACCTTCGTTTTAAACGTTACAGGAACTTCACGGATTGAGGGCGGCTACTTTTCAAAATGTGGCTCTCGCCTTAGCACCGCGCACATTCGATTTAAAAATTTGCAGGAGCTTCACGGATTGAGGGCGGCTCCTTTTCAAAATGTGGCTCTCGCCTTAGCGCCGCGCGCACTATTGACACACAACTGCAACAGTTGCACACGTTCCCATGATCGACGTACCACGAATTGTTTTTGAAGTATTCACGATTGTGAGGGCGCCACAATTACGATGACTCGCGGAGTTGAGGTCCCAGGAATGACGTTCTGGCACGATTCACGATCGTCAGGACGCAACAGTCAGGTTCATCCGTGGCGTTGGAATGCCGAGAAGAATGTGTTGGCATGCTTCAGGGTCTTCAAACGGCTGTCTTCCAACGAGGCAGGTCCCCCTGTGGAAGTGCAACGTTGTAGGGGTCTATGAAGAAGGAGCTTGCGGGGAGGGTTCATTCCAACATCGTCGGCGGCTCTTGGGTTTACACGGGTCCTCCTCCTCCTCCCTCCTCCTCCTCCTCCTCTCCTCCTCCTCCTCCTCCCCTCCTCCTCCTCCTCCTCCTCCTCCTCCTCCTCCTCCTCCTCCTCCTCTCCTCCTCCTCCTCCTCCTCTCTCCCCTCCTCCTCCTCCTCCTCCTCCTCCTCTCCTCCTCCTCCCTCCTCCTCCTCCTCCTCTCCTCCTCCTCCTCCTCCTCCTCCTCCTCCTCCTCCTCTTCCTCCTAAATAACTTCCCCCTGTCGCACCCCGAAGACAGTTTTTAGGGCGGGCCCGACGTTTAGCCTGAGACTCCCTCACTACTTATGGCTCTGAAGCTTAAAAATTGGCAACAGCTTCATAGATGGAGGGCGGGTGGTTTTCAAAATGTGGCTGTCGCCTCAGCGCCGCGCACATTCTTGATACAAAAGTTGCAAGAACTTCGCGGATTGAGGGCGGTTGGTTTTCAAAATGTGGCCCTCGCCTCAGCGCCGCGCACCTTCGCTTTAAAAGTTTACAAGAACTTCACAACTTCACGGATTGAGGGCGGGTCGGTTTCAACGTGTGACTGTCGCCTGATCGCCGCGCACATTGGTTTAAACGAATTGAAAGAATTTTGCGGATAGAGGGCGGGCCGATTTCAAACTGTGGCTGTCGCCCCAGCGCCGCGCACATTCGTGTTAAACATGTGTTGGAAGTTTCGCGGATTGGGGGCGGGTGGTTTTCAAAATGTGGCTCTCGCCTCAGCGCCGCGCACATTCGTTTTAGAAATTTGCATTTGCAAAAGAGTTTCACGGATTGAGGGCGGGTGGTTCTCAAAATCTGGGCCTCGCCTTAGCGCCACGCATACTCGTCTTAAACATTTGCAAGAGTTTCACGGATTGAGGGCGGGTGGTTTTCAAACTGTGGCTCTCGCCTTAGCGCCGCGCACATTCGTTTTCAACATGTGCAGGAAGTTTCGCGGATTGAGGGCGGGTGGTTTTCAAAATGTGGCTCTCGCCTTAACGCCGCGCACATTCGCTGTAAGAATGCAAGAGCTTCACGGATTGAGGACGGATGGTTTTCAAAATGTGGCTCTCGCCCTAGCGCCGCGTACATTCGTTTTAAAAATTTGCAAAGGAGCTTCACGGATTGAGGGCGGTTCCTTTTCAAAATGTGGCTGTCGCCTTAGCGCCAAAGTCGTTTTCAAAAATTGGAAAGGGTTTCACGGGTTCCCATGGTCAACGTACCAGAAATGATGATTTGGAAGGATTCTGGATTATGCGGGTGCAACCGCTATGTGGATTTGCGGTGCTGAATTCCCAGAAATGGCTTTCTGGCACGATTCCAGATCGTCAAGACGCAGCAATCAGGTTGATCCGTGGCGTTGAAAACTCTAGAGCAATGTTTTGTCATGCTTCAGGGTCTTCAACCAGTTGTCTTCCAACGAAGCGGTTCCCTCAATGGAAATGAACCGTTGTAGGGGCCCATGAAGAGGGAGCTTGGAGGGAGGGTTAGTTCCAACATCGTTGATGACTCTTGGGTTCACTGGTCCTCCTCCTAATCCCTCCTCCTCCTCCTCCTCCTCATCCTCGACCCCATCTTGGGAGGCCTAGAGCGTCAAGGTGGTGGGCTCACCGCGCGCGGAAGAGGCCAGTACGAGACCACTAGGCGGGGCGGCATGGGGGGGTGTTCTCGTCAAGAAGCTTGGAGTAAGCGATCCTCAGAAGATCCGCCCGGGACTGAGGAGAAGGAAGAGGAGGAGGAGGAGGGCCCAAGACCGCGCCTGGAGCCCCGGGCCCACCCTCGCCAGTCCCGCGAGCCGAGTCGAGCCGTGGCGGCACGAGGACCGAGGAGCTCCACAGACGGCCCGGCCACGGACGCTCGAGACGACGACGGCCACCACCACCACCACAGCCACGACGACGACGACGACGACGACGACGACGACGACGACGACGACGACGGACGACGACGACGACGACGACGACGACGACGACGACGACGACGACGACGACGACGACGACGACGGACGACGACGACGGCGACGACGACGACGACGAGGACGACGACGACGGACGAGGACGACGACGACGACGACGACGACGCGGGTCGATCTTTCAGAGCCCAGATCTCCAGCATGGAGCCCACCAGGTCCTGCAGGAGCGGGGTCTCCCCCAGCACGCGCAGGTCCGGCTCCCCCCGCAGAGTGGCGCGCTCCGCCTCCGCCCAGGCGGGGAGGGGGCCGTGCCACCCCGACACTCTGGACGCCCGACACTATTCTGAGTGGGATATGAATCGAGGGGTTGGCGACTGACCTTCCGACGGAGCTTGCCAGTTCCCCCCCCTCGTCCACCTCCTCCTCCTCCGCCTCCTCCTTCTCCTCCTCCAATCCCCCTTCCACCCGTGCCGACAGCACGTGCCCAACCCCCCCAGCAGATCCAAGAGGGGGGGCGATTGTTGCCCCATTCAGAGTAGGCATGCGCGTTCCACTACTCGCAAAGGCCTGGGTCCGCCGCGAGGCATTTACGACCTACTACTTCAGAGGAAGACGTGTGTTTTCGGACGCTTGCAAAAAGCACCTTGCGAATAATGAAACGCGCTCGGTGAGACATGGGTGCGGAAAAAATTGTACGATGCCAAATTTTAAGGGGTCCTGGGACACACAAATGAATAGACACAAAGAACAGGATTCCCATATTTTGCTATATTTTCTGGGCTTCTGTCTTCCCCCCACTGCCCATATTTTCCCATCTTTTGCTGGCGAATCGACGATTAATTAAGCCTGTGTGTTTCTGTCCCTCCTGAAAAAATCGTACGATGCAAAATAACAAATCGTGCCCAAAACCGGCGGCGGCGGCCGCTGCTGACCAGGCGGCCTCCTGCCTCGAAGGGACAAGAAGGTCCACGTCGACCACTGCCGCAAGCCCTGCCATCAATGAGCGGGAACTGCTGCTGGTCTCCGCACCCAGGGGGGAAGGAGGAGGAGGAGGAGGAGGAGGAGGAGGAGGACCCCCTCCCCCTCCAACTTATGGTGGTGGTGGTGGAAAACAAGCCCATCGTACCCAGCCTTTCCGTTCCCCTGTCGCGCGTGCCGAGACTCGGAGGGCGGCGGCAGGACTAGAGGGAGAAAGAACAGCATAAACATAAACTGTTGGCGCTCCGCAGGGCTTTCTTGGATCCGCGCCGGACCCCCTCCCTGGCGCGCAGTGGCGGCGCCGGAGGCGCCGCCAGGGGGGTCCCAGCGCAGATCTATGGCGTTTTTCTCAAAGGCAGAAAGCGTAAGACAGGAAAAACGAAGACAGCAAAAACCGTCGACGGTTTTTCTTCCTCGGGTTTTTTTCTGTCTTCCGTTTTTATGTCTTCGGAGGACACCGCCACCATCCTGGAGCCAGGGCCGAGGTCGGCCGTGGCCATGGGCGGCCGTGGTGCACCGTTGCCGCCCCCGCGGGTCCGGAGGCGGGGGGGGCGGGTGCGCTGGAGGGGGAGCCCAAGGGCGAGGGGGCGGTAGCGCACTCGTGGCCTGGGGAAGGCGCGGTGGCGAGGGTGGGGGGTCCAGGGGACGCCTCGAAAGAAGACGAGGGGGCCAAGAAATCTGGGAGGCTCTGTGTGGTATCCACCGCCCCTGGTCCTCACCGCCCTCCTGCACGCCCCCGATGCTGTCGGCGAGCGGCACGCATGTCGACCCCAGCCCCGTGCTGGGCGTCCCGAGGCGGGTCGAGCCGCGAGGTCGCCGAGGCCCCCAGGGGCCCCGGTGGAGACGCAGCGGGGGGACGCCGACGGCACGTTGGCACCGAGTCGGGCCGGGGCCGAGCCCTGGCCCCCAGAGGTCGCCGACGTGCGCCCTCCTCGCTCTGGCCACGACCCGGAGGTCCTGTAGCGTCGCCATTTCTGCACGCGGGGCAGTGTCGCCCTGCCTCGAGGCCCCGGGGGCCTCCCAGGTCGACCCAGCTCGAGACGTGCCGCAGAGAGGTGAGATGTTGCAGTCTGTTTCGCGACGTCGGATCTCAGGAGAAGGCGTGCACGCCAGTCCCAGGCCGAGAACTGGCCCAGCCACGGATCGGTGCCTGGTGTGCAGCTGCAGCGTCACCGAGGCGCAATCAAGAGTCGGCTAGCCCTTGGCCTCAACCATGCTGCCTCTGACCTCTGGAGGGCCCCCGAAGGCCCTCGACGGCCCGGAGAGCCTCAGAGGCGTCTAAGATACTCGCGTGGCAATGTTTTGATCTAGTGTTGGGCCAGCTTGGCAGTCTTGGTGGTTCTCTTGGGCAGCCTTGGCGGCCGTGGAACGTTTCGGCGAGCACCGAAGAGGCGAGGCGGGGACTTATACATACGTGTCCACCGCCTGGGAACCGACGTCCTGGTGCGATATGGATATACGTTGGCCCCTGGAGGCCCGAGTATGTCCATAACTGTCCGCTACCTGCCGAGGTCCCCGACACTTGATTCTCCAGGCGGTGGTCGTGTAGAAAGTCCCGCCGCGGACGAGGAGGCGTCGGGCCACCCAGGGAGCATCGAGTCAAGTCAGGCCAAGCCAGGCCAAGTCAGGCCGCCCCGCGCGCACGAGGGCGGGCCCGCAGAGGTTGTGGATGCCGTGGCAACAGTGGACACCCGAACAGTCCCACCATAAGATTTAAAATGAGCTTTCAGTGTTTGGAAACTGTATAAAACACGTTTCAAATATGTGTTCACGTGCTGAAAACATGGTTCAGACATGTTTTAGCCATCTGGAACTCAACTGACCACATGCCTCCTCTCCATGAATCGTCTTACACAACACAGAGGAAGCCTCGAGGGGGGGAGAGAAACTCGCCCGCCGGCCCAAGAAGCCCCCAGGACAGGCCGGTCCTGGAAGCTCTCTCCCCGAAAGGGGGGGCCCATGACCGCGCCTCCTGCACGACGCCCAAAAGCGCGAGGGGAGGTGGCACGGCGGCCGGCGCGCAAAAGAAGGGACAATGCGAAGGGAGGCTCCTCCTTCTCCCCCTCCTCTTCCTCCTCCACCTGCTCCTCCTCCTCCTCCTCCTCCCCCTCTCTCCTCCTCCCTCTCTCCTCCTCCTCCTCTCTCCTCTCCTCCTTCCTCCTCCTTCTCCTCCTCCTCCTCCTCCTCCTCCTCCTCCCCTTCCTCCTCCTCCTCCTCCTCCTCCTCCTCCTCCTCCTCCTCCTCCCCCTCCTCCTCCCCACCCAAAGGGGAGCCCAGTGACCGCGCCTCCTGCACGACGCCCAAAAGCGCGAGGGGAGCTGGCACGGCGGCGCGCGAAAGAAGGGACAGCGCGAAGGGAGGTTACTCCTTCATTCCTTCTCCTTATAGACAACTCGTCCCTGTCGCACCCCGAGTCCAGTTTTTAGGGCGGGCCGGGCGTTTCGCCTGAGACTCTCTCGCCATCTTTGACTCTGAAAAAGTACAACAGCTTCACAGATAGAGGGCGGTCGCTTTCAAAATGTGGCTCTCGCCTTAGCGCCGCGCACATTCTTGATACAAAAGTTGCAAGAACTTCGCGGATTGAGGGCGGGTGGTTTTCAAAATGTGGCTCTCGCCTCAGCGCCGCGCACCTTCGCTTTAAAAATTTACAAGAACTTCACGGATTGAGGGCGGGTCGTTTTCAACGTGTGACTGTCGCCTGATCGCCGCGCACATTGGTTTAAACAAATTGCAAGAATTTTGCGGATTGAGGGCGGGCCGATTTCAAACTGTGGCTGTCGCCCCAGCGCCGCGCACATTCGTTTTAAACATGTGTTGGAAGTTTCGCGGATTGGGGGCGGGTGGTTTTCAAAATGTGGCTTCCGCCTTAGCGCCGCGCACCTTCGTTTTTTTTATATGCACAGAATTTCACGGATTGAGGGCGGGTGGTTTTCAAACTGTGGCTCTCGCATTAGCGCTGCGCACACTCGTTTCAAAAATGTGCAAGAGCTTCACGGATTGGTGGTTTTCAAAATGTGGCTCTCGCCTGAGCGCCGCGCACAGCCGTCTTCAAAATTTGCAAGAGTTTCACGGGATTGAGGGCGGGTCGTTTTCAAAATGTGGCTCTCGGCATGGCGCCGCGCACATTCTTTTTAAGAATTTGCAAGAGCTTCACGGATTGAGGGCGGGTCGTTTTCAAAATGTGGCGCTCGCCTTAGCGCCGCGCACATCCGTCTTCAAAATGTGCAAGAGTACCACGAATTCCCATGATCAACGTAATGGTGTTCTGGAAGGATTCAGGATTATGCGGGCGCAACAGTTATGTTGATTCGCTGTGTTGAAGTCCCATACATGGCGTTCTGGCACGCTTCTGGATCGTCAAGACGCAGCAGTCAGGTTGATACGTGGCGTTGAAATCCCGAGAACAATGTTCTGGCACGCTTCAGGATCTTCAAACTCTTGTCTTCCAACGAGGCAGTTCCCCCAATGGAAATGAACCGCTGTAGGGGCCTTCGAAGAGGGAGCTTGGAGGGAGGGTAAATTCCAACATCGTTGATGACTCTTGAGTTTCCACTGGTCCCCCGCCTCCTCCTCCTCCTCCTGCTCCTCCTCCTCCTCCTCCTCCTCCTCCTCCTCCTCCTCCTTCTCCTCCTCCCCAAAGAAGAGCCTGGTGACCGCGCCTCCTGCACGACACCCAAAAGCGCGAGGGGAGGCGTCCACGGCGACGCGCGAAAGAAGAGACAGCGCGAGGGGAGGGGGCGGGCGGCCCGATACAGTAGGGGCTCGACCACAAGAAACCTTCCAGAAGAAACCCAACCCTGAAACCCCAGGGCGTCCATCGATGTTTGGTATGGGAACGTCACGCTTTCCACAGAAAAGCCCTCGAAACCCAAGAAACCCAGGGCACCCAGGAGACGCGCAGGGTGTTTCTTGGCATGGGTCTCCACTGTATGAGGGCATGGGGCTCCATCGAAGGGGTCGCGGGCTTCTAGGAAGGCCTGATGGAGGGCTGGAGGCCTCCCGTACCATTTTGTCCGCTCTTGCGAATCGACGCTAGCCGACGCTAAATCGACGTTACTCGACGCTGAATCGACGCTAACCGACGCTAACCGACGCTCAGTCGGCGCTATCTCATCGATTCCCAGACGCTAATCGACGCTAGTCGATGCTGAAGACGGACTTACGAGGATGTACCAGGCTTCCATGCTTTGCGACAGAACGAAGGGAGGGGGGAGGGGAGGCGGCCATCCGATATGAGGGCAAAGGCCTGATGGTGGGCGGGAGCCCCTCCCCCCAAATTAGCCTTCTTCCCAGGTACGTATCCAAC